CTATTATTTATGACTATATATAACGGTTTTCATAAATAAATTCTATATAAAATTTCTACAAACACTTTTGTATATAAAACATTTGCTAAGTATAAATAATGTGAAAGAAATGTTACAAAACACAATTTACAGTAAGAGAAGTTTGTGTATCACGTGTAAAGAGTTTATTTTGTTTTCAGGCTCATATTTACATATTCAAACATACATATTCAGGTCACACAACTCACCAAAAAGATAACAGTATTACAATTTTCGAACGGTAAATATATTCTTAGACCACCGTTTTTTACAGATAGACAGAGAGAATACTAAACAAAATCTAGCGCTCAAAGCTAAACCTAACCCTATGAAAGTTTAAGATAGTTATCAGGTCTGCCTTAAGAGTTCTCACGAGTTCCAGAAGCTTATAAGGCAATACATTTAATACAATGTATTCTCAACTGTCGATTTGTATTCATATCGGGGTAACTGTAAAAGCTTTTGGATAAACTTTCATTATTATTAGGTTAGGGTTTTCTATAAGCTGGAAGTTGGACTGTTCAAGGAGGCAAGCTCAATATAAGTTTATTCAAAATTATAATTTTTCTATTATCTATTGAGGAAAAACAAATTTTTGAATTTTACCAAGTAATTTATACATACAAGTAGTTGGTCCAGTTAAGGTCAAATCAAAAGCAAAAGATTTCTTAAAGATTTAAAAGTTTTTTTTAGACACAAAAAAGAGTGGCTAAGTGTTAAAAGCTTGAAAAAATTAAAAAGATACCGATTTGAAGCTCTTGGGAAACGTGTAAGTTGTCAAGGTTCGGAATTGCTTCAAATTCTCATCCTTATCTAACTGAACCTGTAGTAATATCTGGCTTTATGTGGCACTCCAGGTTTAATTGCAAAATATACCGGACACTGATCCTCCAAAATGGCGGAGGGATCACAATTAAACAGCTGTATACATTCTATTGGGAAGAAAGGTAAAAAAAACTTTTATAGTCGGATTATAACTCTAGACGCTTAGGTGCTTTATATCTATTTCTGCTATATCTCTTGGTTGTATAAAAGTCTGAGATCTAATTTTTGCCTTGATCTGGCATAAATGGGACATTCGAGAAAGATGTGTTGAGATGATGCTATATCCTCTTCTTTCAACTAGCTTATGCAATTAGTATTCGGTAACTTACTGCGCGAATCCCTTTCCGACATTGTCCAGTTAGAACTTATACAACCATTGAAAGGAGAACTGTGCGAAAAGTGAAGACCTCACTAGACCTTGAAGGATTTACCTTGGGCCAGAAACACCTTGCGACGAACCATCCAATACTGAACAGCAAAAGCGCAGTAGCTCCGCTTCTCTACAGCTAAGGTACTAAACCGACTAATTATTTTATTACAGCTATTGAAGTCGTCAAGATCACTATGTTACTTCACCCAAGGATTGTTAAAAAATATATTTATTTATTTCAGCGAGTTTAATTCGGTACAGAAGAGTATGTGGCTACATCATTAAAATGGTAAACCCTTTTTCCGCGATACTACCAAGTTGTATTGTATACATTTTAGACCAGCTTTACCATTGTGAATGATCAAAATGACAAATTACTGTAATAAGAATAAAAAACATTTTCCATCGCTTTTAAAAATAGTATGTATACATCATAAAGTAAGTTTTCATTCATTTCATTATTGATCACCATATATATTTATTGCAGATCAACTTACTTTGTGTGACGAAAATGAATAATAAAAATATGGGATAAGTTTCTACTACAAAAGTGCATTGTTAGATTATAAAATTGTATAACACTTTATTGTTCAACTCATAGAAATTTAATAGAAATATTTATAGGTTAGCTCGGCTCATAGTAAAAATCATATAAATTTCGCAATAAAAAAGTATGTCAGTGTGAATATTAAAACATTGCCAGCACTTACTATAACTCTGGATAACTATGGGAATAATGTAACTCTATGTTTTCCTATGTATGTAGATACATAAACATACACGTATATATAAATAGCTGATATGAGCCGTCAATAAACCGATGTTTATGTCAATTCGTGCTTATACTCGTACAAGTTTGATTAATTGAACTTGACAGCTGTTGAGCGCATTTAATGATGAAAAATATCACTAGAAACTTTATGATCAAACGCATTGAAAATATCCGCAGTAATAAACATGAAAAAACATACAAGTATATCTCTAAAATATTTTTGAATTAAATATTTCTCTTTGGTCGAAACGGCAAAATGACAGTAGAATTAATATCAAAATTTCTTGTTATTTCTTGCCAAGAGAAAGCGATTAGGTTAAACCGAAAATGACTAGTCGTAACTACTTACACGGGGCTCAGCTAAGTTAAGCGGCAATATTGAGTGTTGTATCTACTTGGATTTGCCATAAATTCTGTTACAAAGTTTACAATGAATACAGCGACAACAAATTCGCAGAAAAAAGTACTGTTATTATACTCTCGCAACTTGTTCCTACAGAGAATAATAGTTTTGTTCACCTAACGGTTGTTTGTATCACCTAAAACTAATAGAGTTAGATATAGGGTTATGTATACAATATATAAATGATCAGGATGAAGAGACGAGTTGAAATCCGGGTGACTGTCTGTCTGTCCGTCCGTCCGTCCTCTGTCAGTCTGTCTGTCCGTAACAAAATTCACTGAAAATGTTTTTAGCATCTCTATCGACGGTGTGGAAATGGGTGAAACCGGGTGACAACCCCGCCCACTCCCTATATAACTTTACTATTAAAAACTAATAAAAGCGCGATAAATGAAGCACTAAACAAGCCAGAGACATTCAGTTTTATTTTTGCGATAGTATAAGATAAGTTTATAGGAATCACGGTAAAAATTAGATAGTGGGCGTGGCACCGCCCACTTTTAGCTGAAACCCCATATCTTGGGATCTGCTTAACCAATTTCAACCAAATTCGGTACATAATATTCTTCTCATATTTCTATGTTATAGTAATGGGCGAAATCGGATTACAACCACGCCTATTTCCCATATAACACCATTTTAAATTCCATCTGATGTTTTCACTTTCCAGTATGCAAATCAAGCAACAATGATTATATCGTCCTTGTGACCAAAAATTATCTAAATTGAACCAAAACTGTTCAAGTCCTAGGTACTGAATATGTGGACCCCAGTTCCTATAGCTGACCTTCTACCGAAACTATCGGTCAACATAGAAAAAGACGGCAAGATCCACAAAGAAATCTAAAACGAGTATACCATTTGACTTTGTTAGAGCATAAAATGTTCGGTTACATCCAAATTTAGCTCTTCCTTACTTGTTTTTTATTAAAATTTATATGCAGTGCTTATTCATATATAATAATCAGTTCACAGTTTACTTTCGCTTATAAACGATGGAATGAGGAGCTACGGCGATTGCTTTACCATAAATAAGTGTGGAAAAGAGTGAAATTATAAGCTTTTAAAAAAACTTAATATATCGAGAATTTTTTTTTACCAAACGTCTACAGTTGAAGACAGAAAGAGAAGAGGTCATCCTCGCGTGGTTTGAACTAACTCCCAGAAATGTTAAAACTTATGAGAGAAGATTTCTACCTGAAAGCCATCGGTCAACCAGGTAGTCTTCTGACAACGTGCTTGAAGCAAATTAGGCTTAACAGATGCAAGAAGCTTCTGCAGTGGCACGCGGACAACGACCATGAAAGTAGCCTTTCCCTTTTACAGATGAAAAATTTTTCACGTTTGAAGAAGTTTTTAATAAGAAAAACGACAAAATCTGCGTAAAAACTTCCAAAGATGCAAAAAATGTTAATCCAAGGGTTCATCGTGGACCTCATCCAGCTGCTGTAATAGTTTGGTTGGAAGTCTCCTGTAAAGGTAATAAGCCTCTTCACTTCTGTGAAAAAAGGGAATTAAAACTGGGCTAAAAGTGTACAAGCTGGATGTTTTAGAAGGCGTGGCAAATCAGCTAAGCAATACACTCTTCCATGGAGATCATTGGATCTTCTAGCAAGAATCTGTTGTAGCACACAAGACAAAATGCACCCAGCAGTAGCGTAAAAGCAATATTCCTGGTTTCATAGCTGTAGATGATTGGCTGTCTAGAAGTCCATATTTGAAATCATTGGACTACAGTTTGTGGTCAGAATTGGAGATTTGTAGAGCCTCAAAAAATCTTTGGTTCGAGCATCGTCGTGAATACCAATAGAAACTGTGCGTGCTGCTATTGGTTAATGGTCGAATCGTTTGAGGACCATTTTGAATAAATAAATAATTTTGTATTATTATATAAAATTAACTTTATTAAGTAATGTATTATAGTTTTACTTTTATAACGGCCTGAACTTATGGCAGAACAATATATATATAAACATTATATTGTGAGTTGATCGAGATCTTACCCCAATATGGTATCTACGACTCGATTTAAGGTCAGGCTGAAACGTTGGGGCAAAGATTTTTATTCAAATTTTTTAGCAATACATGGGATTTTTCTACAAGAGTTTCGAATCCAAGAATTACAATCAGATAGTCATGTTTAAAATTTTTGGAATTTATGATATTTTTACTTGAAATATCTATTTTTTTAACAAAAATGTTTAAAGCTTGACCGTATTAATTTCGATAATCTGAGAAATCAGTAGCTGGTACGTTCTTTAACAGTACATACCGATCTGCTGCCAAATTGTAAACCTAAGTATGCATTCCCACACCCAAACAAGCACACCCACACATTGTATCACAAATTCACAGTTATTTGTATATCAGTTTGAGCGTATATGTTAATAACGTTCCACACATCCTCGCCATTTCGCTATGTTTTTAACCGAAAGTTGAAAATTGTATGAAAAATAAACACAAATGTTTACAAAAACCAACCGACAAAGCAACGAACAAATGAAAAATAACAACAAAGTAACCGAAAACTATGTAGAGCGCTAAGTAAATGGGGTAAAAACAAACCGAAAAAATACCAGTATGTTTTATGAGTTTCTGTGGAAGCTACTTACCTCTTTAATTAAACCCCAAGTTGGCTCATTGCCCGGATGCCGTATGGCCTGACGACTGACGCCGAAACTCATTAGCACCACAGCCAAGAGCACCACGAAATAAATCATGTTTTTAACCATTTTACCCATCATAGTGACCAACGGACCTGAAAGAAGAATGAAATGTAAGCAAAGTGGTGAAAGTGGACGAACAAAAATATTTTCTATGATTTTTCCGAGAAAAATTTACAAAAAGTTAAGTGTGGAAAGCTATAAACTGAATGGTAGGGTAAGACCTTAAGTACTGTTATATGACTCAAGCAAAATTGGTGAATAAATAAATGACATAATGAGCCCAGTTCAGCATTTCTGTAAAATGAAACTAAGACTAAAGTCTATAAGAGTGACTGAGGGCTGTTAATCGTTACGAACATTCGTAGACCCAATGTTCATGCATCTCTCGACGAAAAAGGCGCAGTTCGATATGAATGAAAGTAATCCAAATTGTGAGAGTTCGACATTACGAAACCCAATTTCATCTACATAAGAGTTCATATAGCAACTATTCATCCAATCATCCTGATCAGTAAACCAGTGGCTCTACAGGCGCTCTGAAGACGAATACAGATAATATACTATAGATCACAGTCTAAGAGAAAAATAGAGCTGTATTTACGAATAATAATGTTAATACACATAATAAGGTCGGAGGAACCACGATCAAGCCCAAAACATCACAGAGATTAATGCTATGTTTAAACTTTTTTCTAAATATTTTTACTAATATGACATGTTTTCATAAATTATCTGTAGATAATTGATTAACTTATTTTTAATTCGAATTTGAATTCGAAGATACCTTGCTGAATTTTTTCTAACCAAGAAATTTGCATTTTGATTCTTAAACAGTATCACGAAGACAGTTACTTGAAAGAATTGTAATGCATAAATTATTGCTCATTAACTAAAATAATGTTTAAAGAGCTCTACAGAAAATAATAATATTCATTAAAAATTCATGTAGTAGCTGAACCGTTTACGGTACTTCGCATAATGACAAAAATAATGAGAAATGAGAATGAAAAAGGGTGGCAACGAATTTATAACAAGTTTAATTAGATTCAGTGTGTAAAAGTTTAAAATACGGGAGAAGACCTTAATGCAGTAACTTGAATTTAATGATGTCATTATACCGTTTTTTCAATAATTAAAACCACAATGTTTGTAAACTCACACATCCTGTGCGAAATCGAACTGAAATCATGTATTACATTAAAATCGATTAAATTTTTGCTGAAGGCGATTTAGGTACATATGTCCATATATATATATTTATATAAAAATATTATTGTGTTCCTAAAACTTTTGTCGCTTATTTAGGGTTTCAAATTAATTGGTGATTCGTTTTGAAAAAAATTTTCACATGCTAAGATTTGCAAAGGTTTGATTCAAGCTTTCTAAAACAGCTTTTGCTTTCTATTGATAATAAAAATTTGGATAAAGGTTAATAAAAAAAGGAAACAAGTAAAACACATTAACTACGGCTGTACCGAAGATATAATACCCTTCACAGGTGCATTTATTATGGCATAAAAGATATACAAAGATCTTTGCCTTGACTTCTTATCGGTCAGCTCGTCACGCTGGCGATCTTGTGCTCAACAAGTTTTTCATTACATTTTTCTGCGAATATTCCAACTTTGCTATTGAATTATCTTCACAGAAACAAGTCAACAAGGACGAGTGCTGTTAAAAAATACTATTTCTGCTTCATATTTTTTTTAATTAAAAGACTTATACTTGACTTAGTTAAAAGTAGTCGCTAAATTAAAGTTCTTGGCATAGAAAATTAAAAGTTGCGGGGTCTAAACTAAGATTGACTTGACGATGATTTAAAAATATCTGGTTGAGGATCTAAGCTAGGCTTAAATTCACAAGCTTGACTTGTCGAGAAATTTAATTTTCTGGAATATATTTTTGTCAAATAACAGAAGCACACAGAGGAAGCTTTTAATAAAAGTAGCTATATATAGTTTCGAAGAAGTTTCTTCAACAAAACCAAAAATTTACTTTGCTTGCAACAACCCTAACAGTCATCACAAACGTGTGCTTTTGTTGAATACCACGTGCAATTACATAAAGGTCTGTACACATATGAGTATATACGTGTGTTTTACTCATGGAATAAATATTTGTTCTCACTTACCCAAATACTTGTTTACACCCAAAATATTGAGTATTCGCAAATACCAATAAATACTATCCACACAGTAAATCACGCGACCGATATCCATTGTGTTGGGTCGAAAGCGCAGCGATAAACCGATCAGGAACAAGATAATAGCAGCTGCATCGCAGGGATTCCACATATTCCAGGCCCAGACCGCAAATTTATGGCTGTTGTGGGAGTAAAAAAAAGAAAGAAGAGAGAAATTTGTGAAAAAGAAGAAAGGCTTGCAGCAAAAGGCGTCTAAATAAATTCAAGCATTTCAGTAAAAACAAAAAAATAATAATGCTACTGCAAAAGTAATCTGAGAAGAATTTAATTCAGCGTGAAAAATCAACTCAACACCAATTGTGTGGAGGTGTGTATGTGTGTGGATGTTGAGTGTGGGTGTATGGCAAGCGATAATGAAAGCGAGCGCAAATGGTCAAGCATAAAACGCAAAGTAGCACTTAACAGTTATTTTAAAAGGCAAGCCGCATGAGATTCAATTTATACTATTAACACTTTGGCTTATGTGAGCATATGGTCATACTGCTATTTAACTGTTAATATCGAAATAAAAAAAATTGTGAATAAAAACTATAAGAAACTTACGTTATGGCCACCGGCTCCGAAGAGATGATTTCACGTATTTTCTCAAAACCCAAGGTGGCTATGTATGCGATTGAGTAGACTTCCTGCCAACGCGGCGTCGGGCCCATCTTCACTAACACGGTGTAGGTGAACATGAATAGAAAAAACATGTAGGCAATCTGTTGGAAGAAATAAAAAATTAATTATATATTGGAAGATTAAAATTGAAGATATAGCGTATTGTCACGGTGGAGGAATAGTAAAGTAAACGAGTATTTATATTACAAGGTGGTGTAGTAAAAATAATTCCTTTATTTTTCCAATAGATGGCGTTATTTATCTGTACCTCGCGTTGTACAAGTCCGGTCGGGTTCGGCTGGATGGCGTTAGAAAGATGACATTTCGTACTAAGAAATCTTTTCTGACAGTTTTGTGATTGTTTGATTCAGTTGTGTTTGAGCGCGCGTCAAAGATGGACACTAGCAAAGAGAAAATAGCTATACTTTACAGTTTTTCTTGGATAAGGGAAACGCAAGCCAGGCGACTGAAAATGCGAGTAGCGTTTATGGCCCTAACACTATAACAGCCAATCATGCGCAATTTCGGTTTCGTCGATTCCGTCCCGGTAATTTCAATGTCAAAGATGCACCACGCTCTGGAAGACTAATTTTCGAAAAAATCGATCATATAATGGAAATCGCCGAGTCCAAACATCCATTACGATTGTCCAGAACGTAAAAATTGCACAAAAACCGCTTGGAACCATTTAAATAAGACTGTATACGAAAAGTAATGATTAAAGGATTCAATTTCATGCAAAAATAATGAATTTCTTTTTACTACACCTAATATAAAACCGATTAAAATTACTTTCCAAATGATACTTTAACATATAAACCAGACAATTTAATAGTAATGCGAATATTTCTAGAATGCGTCGCTAACTAAATTAGCACTATTAGTCCAGTCATTTAAACTTAAATTTAGTAAGTATCTCGGAATTCAGATACCCAGCTGTAAGATGTAAATACTTGTATATTGACACCCTAAAAGTTGTCTCAAAACCTACATATGGTAGGCTGTACGCAACTATTAAATTTCAAGGTCAAAGCAATATTATAGAATACGAAATTCTCTACAAATTTTGTTTAAAAATTTTTTTCATACGGTGAACCGTTTTCGAAATAGAGGGCTTAGAGCGCGCGGTCACAGCATCACTTCAGGTCAACCGGTGCCTCCGATCAAAAACGCGCCATATATAGTATATATATAACTATCGATAAATCAATGATTATAAATATTTGTCAATTTTTATTAACTATTATATTATATTTTATCATTTTCTTCATCCCTTAAATCTTTATCTATTCAATAATACAATCTGTAAATTTGTAAATAATAGGACAAGATATTGATTTACTCATAATTTTAATTGGGCGTACACTGTCTTACGAACAAGAAATTTTCTTTAAAAAAAGTTGGGAAAGGCAATGTAAAAACGGAAATATACTCGACTAAAAGTTTTGATAGTTATCCTCATTCCAAAACACATATTTTATTTCTGCACACTTTAAGTGGATGTGACACAACTTCTGCGCTTTTTAAAAAGGAAAAAAAAACCATTTTTAAAAGTTTTTGAGAAACTGACCAATTTGGATGAACTAGCTGCAGCATTTGAGGAAGAAAATTGTTCGGCCCAGAGATTATTAGAGAGTGGAACTCAAACCTTATTGGCAGTCTATAATGCTCCGAAATCTGTGAAAAGTCTCGATCATCTTCGTTATATGCATTACGTCAAGTCTACAAAACTTAATAAACCTGTGCAGCTTTCAAATATTCCACCAACAAGTGCAGCTGCTCATCAACATTTCGAGCGTGTATATTATCAAGTTCAAACTTGTTTAGGGCATGATTTGAAACCCCAGGTATGGGGTTGGGCAATGCGAAACGATTTTCTGGAGCCTATCATGACAATTTTACCACCTGCTCCAGAACATTTGCTAAATACAATTTTCTGCAACTGCAAGAGTGGTTGTGGTTCGCGATGCGGATGCAGGAAAGCGGGCTTGCAATGCTCTTTAGCTTGTGGGCAATGTAATGGGCAAGCTTGTCTCAGTGCTCTACCATATCAGAGCGACATTAACGAAGATGGAACTTTTGACCCCGAAATCATGGAAGAACTTGAAACAAATGTCGTTGAAGACGATAATGAAGACCAGTTTGAAATTTACCAGCAGCCGGAAGACGACGATGAAGAGGAAGAAGATGATTAAAATTATAAATTGTAGTTTTTGTACCCTTTATTCCATTTTTTTACTTTTAATAATGTAATGTATTGAATGATATTTTTTAATATATTTTTTATATTTTTTTTTTTATCATGTAAGAAGTTATTAATACTAATAAGGTTTAAATTTAAATATAATTCCTATATTTTCATTAACAATTCTGCAATTTCATGGGCAAGTAAGTGTTGTTAAATAAATTAATACTGAATAAAAAGTGGATAGGTTAGGAAAAAATAATATAATATAATAGTTAATAAAAATTGACAAATATTTATAATCATTGATTTATCGATAGTTCATCAACTATATATGCCGCGTTTTTGATCGGAGGCACCGGTTGAACTGAAGTGATGCTGTGACCGCGCGCTCTAAGCCCTCTATTTCGAAAACGGTTCACCGTATGAAAAAAATTTTTAAACAAAATTTGTAGAGAATTTCGTATTCTACAATATTGCTAATAAATACCAATAGCAAAAAACCCATAGTAAATGAAAGAGTAATGAGTAATCTGTTATTAGAGCTATCCAAAGAGAAAGTTTAGTAATGAAAAGGGATAACCTTAATTTTTTTTAAACTAAGGCTATATTAAACAATTAAGATAATCTAAGTTCGGTGTTAGAACTGGAATATCAGGCGAATTCGCATATACTACTACTACAATGACTTAGGCGTCTTTCACGCGATTAAAGCTGAACCAACAATACCGCGCATTTGTTTCTTCTTTTCGTAGTTTTACGCCATTTGGAAATACCAAGTAAAACCATGTCGCTCTCCTCTTGATATTTCCAGCGAAGGTTCTCACCTGACTTTCGTGCATTGGTACGACATGACCTAGCCAGCGTAGCTGCTGGCTTTTTATCCTCTGAACTATGTCAAAGTCGCCCTTTAATTCGTTCAGCTCGTCTTTCCATCGTCTGCGGTATTTGCCATCACCTATTCTAAAAGTACCGTACATTAACCGAAAAACCTTTCGCTCTAAATTTTTCGTACTTTCTTATTGGATGTTAACATGTTCCATGTATCTGCACCATACGGCAGGGCGGGAATAATGAGCGAATTATAAAGTTTGGTTTTGGTTCGTCCAGAGAGACTACTCAATTGAAAGTAGTACCTGTTGGCAATAGTGATTCTGTGTTGATTGCCTGGACATTATTGGTGTTGGATCCAAAATAGACGGTTGTGAAGACCAATAGTATTAATATCATCGACATACGCCAGCAACTGCATATGTTTGTAAAATATTGTACCTTGTATATTTAGCTCTAGGTTCCTTATTATTTTTCCCAGCATCTCTAGTTGAACAAATTGCTCTAAAACCTTCAACGCTTTATAAACTTTACACAATTTTGGGTTTTACAAACTTTACCATAGAATAGCATCGAAAAAAAATCAAGCGGTTCACAATCTTTATTGTTTCCAACATGGTATTTTCTACTGACGGTGCCATAGAACTAACTTAGATAAGAATAACGAACAAAAGTCGTTAACATTGATTTCTCAAATTCGCGCTCTATACAGAAAACCTACAAATCCAAATTGTCATTAGCATACATTTAGGAGCATGTATTATTATTGTGCTTTATTCGCAATAAAATGGCTATTTGAAAACAATAGTACATTAATCCAGTTCTAATTATATTTTTTTATTATATTAAAATAAGAAATACAGAATCGAAAATTGTACATATATTATGAGAGTTTAACGCGAACACTTAGTTATATAATATGAGGCCAATTAGTGACAAAATAAATGTATATCTCAATAATATTATTGCTACTTACCGAATCTGCCCAGAACTTCGTAATTGGTGCGGTATAAAATTCATAGAATTTCTTCTTCAAACGTAGCGGCTGATGCTGCTTCAGCTCATAATCGCCCAAATTAAAAATATCACGGAACTGTGAAGGATCGGAATCGGTGAGTGAAACCTTTTCGGCGGCGGAGCAACGAACAAAGACGACAACGAAAAAAACGATTAATTCAAACACAAGTACATGAACGAATATTTATGTAAATATGCATGTGTAATTTCATAGGCAATACAAGGACTAATCTAGATTAATTACAAAGTGACTATTTTTCGAGGTGAACATGGATTATTTACATAAAAAATGCGATTAAATGTTTGATTTATACAAAAACATTCCATTAGGCAGTAATTCCGGGAATCATTATTTATTTATATTATATATTTATAATATTCGTTTTATGTAAATAGCAATTAAAAAATAAAGCAACAACAAATTATTGAACTGCAGAACGGTGATTGAGGTGACTTTAACAAGCGAAATGCATAGTTGAAAGTTGTTGGTGTAGAGATTTTGTAGCAAGTGTGTTGACATACATACTAACACTACTAGTACTAGGTAGTATATAAGAGTATAAAGTATGTATATAATTACAATAAAGGTGTATGTGGCAAGGAAAATACATGATTTGCAAACGTTATTATGTGCTTATAACGGTACAAGTGAAGCAGCAGCAAACATGCTAACGCACACACACGCGTGTGTATGTCTATATAGGTATGTATATTTGAATCAGAAAATGAATAGCATAGCATAAGCATTAGTCCAGGTTATTAGTGGCATTAGCGGTATTAGTGGGTGAAGAGGAATTTTAAGGATTAAAGGAATTAGCAGAATTATGCATACGCAAGCAAAATAAATGCATATGTAGATTTGTATGCAAAGCGCATGTGATGAGATTTTACATTTATTTCTTTATTTAATTTTTTTTTTATTTCTAATGCAAATGCAATCATAACAAATGGATTTTGCTTAGCTGCAAAATCATTGATTTGTAGAAGCGACAAACGGGACTTGTATAAATTCAATTTATCACATCTAGTAAATTATACGTTATTATATAATTACTTAAGTATATAGTATAAAAAAAGATATGATTTTCATGTGCTTTGTATTTACGGTTCTACTTATAAGAAAGGGGTTATATCCACTTGTGATATACATTTGGCAGAAAACACTCGTTTTTTTTCCACGAAGAATATTATTTAATAAAACATAAAAAAACGTTGACTTCGGCTGCATCGAAGCTTTAGTACCCTTCACAGGTTCCAATTTTCCACTTCCTTACAAGAACCACAGTTTTCCTTACAAGAACTTGATTTTGAGCTTTTCGTAGAAGAACTTAAATTTGATTGTTCAGTTTGTATGACAAATATATGCTATAGTAGTCCGATATCGGCGGCTCAAACAAAAAAGCAGCTTCTTAGGGAGAAAAAGGCGTGTGTGATATTTCAAAACGATATCTCAAAAACTGAAGAAATAGTTCACGTATATACAGACATACAAAAGGACATAGCTAAAACAAGTCAGCTCGTCACACTGATCATTTATGTACATATGTACTTATATATTTTATTAAAAAAAAGTATAAAAATTGTTTTTTTTTAATTCACAGGTGAGTATAACCCCTTTAAAGAGTTTAGAGAGTAAAAGCAACCTTAATAGCTGTAGCAGCTCTGGCAATAAACTAAAATAGCATAAGTCGACTTCAAATATGTTATATATTTCGAGTTCTAGTAAAGAACTCAGCATATCCTTAAGCTTTGTTTTAGTGCGATATAGGATGCTAGATTTTAATGCTTTCTTTAAGTTGAGGGGTTACATGGGTTTAACGGCTTCAAAAAAATCAATTTTTTTCATTATCTTATTTACATAATTTTATAACATCATTAGAATATTGAGCTAAATGCTTAAGTTGATCCGAGTGATAGTTTTGAAGATACAGTTTATAGTCTAACCTAAATCACGTATTTTTTTTTTTAATTTTGATGATACCGCAAATGTTCTGCAGTCAACGCGGAGGCATCTTTTTCCGAAGTACTGCCGGCAATGACGTCGTAATGACCACGTTTTGACTACTTTTATTTGAAATCTTCACAAATCTTTGTAAAATATGTATCTTTGGAATGATAAACTATTTTATTTTTATGTATGAAAAGTCAATTTTTGAAAATATGCCATTTTTGGGTCGAAAAAACCCATGTAATCCCTTAAAGCACAAAGTCAGCTCTTGAGTAAGTTGATCTGTCTAATTTAACTTATACGTTCCAAGCTAATTTGACTTAAGCTACTTTAACATTCCTGCCACAACTATGTAAAGAGCATCATTTTAATACATTGCATATTTGCGGAAACCACTGTTAAGAGTAAAAAATAAATAGTAAAATAGAAATGTAAATAAGTAAGCCATTACATTATGTACATAGAGAAAAATTTTGTAGTTGAAAAATAAAATAGATAATCAAAAACTAACAAATAAAATTTAAAAAAATTGCTTCAAATTTTTTCATATAAATTATAAGCAAAATTTCTTGTATTGATTTTTTGCACAACACTACGGTGATCTCTTATCAAGGCAACTGAAATAAACCTTTGCTGTTGTATTAAATCTATCGTTTATTTAATTTATGAACAATACTATAGTGCGTCTATAGCGTACTAAAACGTCGTGAAGTCGTATTGCTGTGAGAAGGGCACACAAAATATTATTACAGCACTGAGAGATCAGTCTCATCCGTTTCGATGGCTAATAAATCACACATGAACAACTGTTGTAAAACGATCATGTCGATCAAAGGAAGTACTCTCTGTGCGCCAAAAAGCGAAACATACGAATATTTCGCAAAGAAACTTAAAATCAAAAAAAAGACTCTCCGCAAAGAACGTCATGTTTGTCGATAACCTGCCTATTACCTTGAATATTGGTTGTGGGAGATAATAATAGATCAAAGAAATATTATTTCGAATCAATAGTAGTTCGACTCGGTCGGCTGAACCGAATGTATAGAATAATTTTGAATGGTTTAATACAAACTTTTAGACTTCGATACGAACCACCAATAAAACTATGGTATACTGCGAATATCTCGGTTAATGCTTTCAAATTCCAACTAAAAGGGCTAAAGTACTGAATTATATTAGATTAGGGCATAAATAACAGCAGGTTAAGGCCAAAATTATAACTTTTATTAAAAAAAAACATACACTTCCAGATGTCTTCGGATGCCAATAAAGTTGAAGTAGCCTTAATTTTAAGATATGAACATTTTGAATGGCCGCGCGTAACATTTTTATTATATATTCTAGATGTCTACAATGAATAATGAATATTTCAAGGTTACAGGAGTAAATAGTATACCAGCGCAATTATTTGCTAGGTAGTAATAATAATTTAATTTTTTTTCGAAACTATCATATGATCAAATACTGCCCGGACTGACAAAAAAAAACTATATTTTCACGTATTTTAATACAAATAATTATTTTTGGCTTCAAAATAGGGTCTTTTTATACATTGGTTAAAAGCCTGGGCTCGAATGGCCTTCAGTGCTTTCAGGACATTTTGGTTTTTTCGCTTTCAGCTCAGTTTTGTAGCGCCATTCGTTAAATTGTTCGATAGTTTGGAAGTCATATTCATAAACCCACTCCTTGTCACCAGCAGTCATGCGTTTAATGAATATATGGTTCTCAGCATCGCTTTTGTGAACTCTCCTCGACTTCGTTTTTGCAAAAGATTCAGGTCGCTTGGTAACTACAGGACTAGCATTGACACGTTTTATACCCAAACATTAATCAAAATGTGTTGAGTCGATCCATAAGAGATGTTAAGACCCTCTGCTATCTCTCTGATGTTAACACAATGATTTTCAAGCACTGTTTCCTTAACTTTTTCGATCTTATCGTCATTAACAAAGGTGGGTGGATGACTCGCATGAGGCAAGTTTTCGATGACTTCACGACCTTCACTAAATGCTTTGTGCCACTCAAATACTTCTGTTCGTGATAAAGTAGACCCCCTACAACACTTATGAAACATTTTCAATGTTTTCGTATCCATGACTTTACAAAATATAAAATTTCAAGCAAACTCGTTGTTCAATATTTTTTTGTTTTTCGATGGTAAAAATCGCGAGACAAAGTTTTTACACAAAAACCTACCACACACTAATTGACATATGGAGGTCAGAATTCACGAGAAGATAAAAAAGGTTGTACCAAACTAAGAAATAACTTTTTAACTTTAGATTACTTTTTGATTGGAGTATTTTCGATCTACTTTAATGAATTTCTACAATACTTTTTAATGGATATTTTTGAGTTTTTAATCGTTATTCAGCTTTTCGGAATGGAAACGAATTTAACAAAGCAGTTCAGTTGTCCTTGAGCTTTAAAAAGTGAAAAAACCCAGATTTAATTTATTTATATAGATCGTTATTGATCGATAACTTTACGTGTTTGCATACCCTGCTTTTATTTCGTTTGATTGGAGCAAAAATTTTTCTTCTTTTTAAGCAACTACCAAATATCGGTACATACGATAATGGAAAATGGATTCCACTTTATATTTTGTATGAGAGAGATTTTTAAGCCTCCAGGAAAATATAGTAAGTATGTCTATGAGTATTTAGATTTTTCTAAATTATTTATCTTCAAATTTTTAACATTACAAAGCCCAATTAAGCCAGCTTGTTTCATTGTTGCACTCAAAATAAGTAAATAAAAGAAAATGGATAAATCAAAAAACACATTCGGTCATAAAAAGCTTCAAAATGATAAGCTTTATTTACATTGCGGCACTTTTTTAAACTTCTATGTAATTAGTTTTGTTGGCGGTGGGCTTTTTGCTGCGCACTTTTAAGGGGTTTTAAGGTTGGAATAGAATATCTGCGGCTTTTAGTTTTATAAAATAGTTTTACATATAAAATCATTTGAGCTTAATATTGCAGAAAATCCGCTTTTTACATAAAAAGCAAGAAACATGTAAATAAATACGGCTTACGAGTATAAAAAGGGAATATAAGTACTGTCAATGTATAGGAGAATAAAAAGGCTTCAAGGAAAATAATAATAAAATGAAAGGAAAATATTTAAAAAATATTGAGACAAAAAGTTTATTCCTTAAAAAATTAAAGAATTTCTTATAAGTATGGGTGTAAAGTTTCTATAATATTATATGTAATATGGTTAACTGTTCAGTACTACAAGCCAACTGCTTAAAAATATTTATGAGATGAGCTTGTATGTATGTATGTGTGCATATAATGCATCAAACTGTCAACAAATGCAGCAAGCTTTAAGCTCTTTCGTCTGTATAAAGTTCAAAAGAAACTAATAACATTTCAAAACACTTGACCAGAAACTAACTTTAGAGAGTTCACCAAGAGCACCAGCTGTGAGATCGACCTGAAATTAATTTATATAATTGTTTTTCTAGTTTTCTAAGAATATTATCTGTGAACTACATAAGTTAGGAGTAAAGTGTTGTCAAGTGAAAAAAAGTGATGATTGTGGTATTTTCGAAATGTGAATAAATATAAGTAATTTAAAAAAACCATAACGGATTACGTGGAAGAACTGTTCCAACTACTCAGTTGGACGATTTGCTTAGGTGATTTGGGTGAACGCTACCACGTGATTTTTTTTCAAAAATTTAACTACACAATACCAGGTGTTGCTAACTGTATCAAGTCATATGTGAATAATCAGTGGATTGCTTTTGTGTGGCTTAGAGTTAAGTGGAAGTGATGTGGAGTGTTGGAGAGTGAAACGGATAACTTTAAAATTCTCAAAAATTAACTATTTACTTTCAATAGCATAATTTTTGTTATATTTTTTATCATTCTCAAATTTTTTTTGTAAATAAACTTGTGATTTTTTTGAAAACTGAAATTTCTTGTATTCATAATATTTGATGATCCTCAGTTTCTATATACTTGTATATAATTATGGCGTATTCCAAAGCATTACTTCCTAAAATTATAGTTTTTTCGGCTGGGATTTGAAGTCAAAACCAACGTGGTTCGACTGTGCTCATTCTTGAAAAATTTTATCAATTATCCCAGGTCCTTTACTAGTTTGCTTTTTCATACTCAAGATATAACTAAAATTATAAATAGCCTGCTTTGAGCTTTAGTTTAGTGTTGCCAACCATGCTATTGTACCATGTGTTACAATTGTTCTTAAGGCAAATTTAGGATTAGAGACCATTTTTAGCAGAGCTTTAGATGTCTGTTTTATTTATATCTTTATTTAAAGAAAGAGAGATTTAATGGGTGTTATTCGGAGTTTGTTCCGTTCCGTTCTCAAGACATTTTCCACATCGATACGAACAAAAACATGAATAAAATCGCAAAGTGAATTTTGGAGTATCGAAAAATTTAATTCATCGAGATAGCTGACACTCCAAAATTATAAAAATTGGTGTTGGACATATCGTTCAGGAGTATTTCGGTATGGGAAAGCTCTGCGCAAAGTGGGTACCGAGCGTGCTAAATATCGACCGATGCACTCTGCCTGAAATCAATGAAAATGCATACGGATATACAATAGTGGTATCGAAAAGTTGGAAGATCGCGATTGTAATCGGTACATTGTCCGCGATGGCGAATGTATTGAATAAAAAGATCAAGTTGTACCAAAAAGATGCGACATGAAATTTCTAGCCTCTATGGTACTTGTAGATTTGTAATTCTTGTTAATATTGAGTTTTAATAAAGTGATCTTGAGATTTCCAAATCCAACGCACACTCTATTTAAAGAAGATTTGGAGAATGCATGGGCTTCCATTAGTGAAAGGCGAGTATTCTTCTGAAACTTGGTCAGATCGCTTAGAAGATTATAGTTCCAGAACGAAGAAGAATATCGAAACAAGTCTAATAAAAACCGTTTTCAAATTAATAGGTCCATGGTTTACTTATGTAACCTGGGAATTGATAAAATTGTTAAATAAAGAACCTCAGCTATAATTCTTAGGGATAATTATTGCACTAGTTTTGCATATTTCTATTTACTCTGCAGCAAATCTCAAAGGCTTATCGATGAAATCTCAAAAGCTAATCATTACAATTTCGGATTTTACATCATACAACCATTATCTTACTTATAGGTAGCGATATATAGATATAGTGTTCGAAAAATAGTGAGACTACATTTATATACTTATAAATTTATTTGAATATACATATATTATATATGTGTATGTATGTATAAATTATATAACTATTTGTTTCCCACGCCAACAAAATTATCAAATTGTATGTAACTAAAATGCATATGTGAGTGTTATGCAATACCATTTGTATGTATATATAATCAATATGTATGTTTATTGCACTTTTACAAGTAACGCTTTAACTATGTAGATATGTAATATAGTATGTCGCGTTTCATTAAATACTTATTACTCACTTTTCCATTCTCTTGTACTTTGGTATCACGTAGGGAGTATGTGTCCGCCAAAAGTGCCTGCAAAGGTTCAGTTTGGAATTCATGCGATGAATCATCAATCAATTGCCATTACAAGAGACATTGTGTATATGTGTGTGTGTGTGTTGACAGACAGAGACAGAAACGAGATAGAGAAGGTGTATAACACAATTGTATTTTCATTTGAAATTTTGCTGTTTGAAAAACAAAATATTTGTGTTTGCTTTGGGATAAGAAAATCTCAGTCATGATGGTAAAGTTTTCAAAAAAATATATTTAAAATAAATAGAATACTGTGTGCACATTTATTAAACAGAATACAAAAATTATTATAAAATAATTTACTAATTAAATTTGAAATATGTACTGTAAATATGTTTGAACGCACGAAATACTACACATCTAGGTATATTTACAGCAATGGGTATACACAATCCCTATAATATAAGTAAATATTTTTATCTAAATTTATTTATTTTAACCTATACATTACTATACAAAATTGTAGTGTTAATAATACCCATTGTTGGGTTTCATGATATAAAAATAAAAAATTAATTTTTATATATTTATTTTACATACCATAACCTTAAATTTTTTTCAGTAAACTGGTTTTATTTGGTATAAAAAAGTAAGAATCATAACACCTAAAGTCGGCTAGTTTTTCAATGCAACGTTTTTCAAAATCTGTTAAAAAAAACCACTTCTAACTCAAGCTTAAATTAACCTGATCTAATTCTAGTGGAGAGGAGTTGGTGATTTTATATATAATATATTCTATGACTACCTATTCCTGTCTGTGGCGAATGAATTTCATGGTGGAAATTCGCTTTAAGAAAAGTGTACGAAAATCTACCGTCCTAGGCTAACAGGGACGAGCGTTTCCATGAGAGTATCATTATGAAATTACTAACAAAATGGCAAAAAGTTATTAAAAGCACGATGCATATTTGACCAGATAATACTAATTATGCTGATTTACACCTCCAATTTGACTAACATAATTGGCTTAAAGTCAGCTAGAAAGGCGGAAATCATTATATTGGGTATCGTTGGGGTAAAAAGAGGTCTGGACTGATTGCATCAACTCTTGATATTACTCAAGTATGTTCGGAAACATATTTCCACGCAATTTTATGAAGATAACAACAACACACTCTGACCATATACGGCATAAAGTGTGCCAAAATAACGAAAATCATTTTATATAGTATTTGGTAGCTGAGTAATTCGTTGACCAATATTACCAATTATCTGCAATAAACTATAATACATCCACTATAATACGTTCGCTTGGTTTTGATATGTTATCTTACATATTGACCGATATATGATTTTGATGAATTTATTTAGTGAGTTATCGCACTTAGTAGTCTTCAACATAATCGTTATATGGAGAGTGACCAAGATTTTCTGTCGGATTCGGTTCTCTGTCGGAGAGGTTACCAAAAATATATGTATTGGTCGATCTTACTTTGGCGGTTGGGGAGATATATATACATATTAAATTTATGAACGAGTGACGCTACGCTCACTTTTACGAAGTTTTTCAAACCACAATAGCCCCTACCTAATGCGATTCGTTGTACCAAATAACAGTTTTATATCATATTATGGAACTTAGTTATGTCACTTTATAAGTGTTCGCTTAATGGCATTTTGTGAGCGTGGTAATATTTCGATTACGTTCATTCTGTTCAATCTGTCTTTGGTACAAAGAAATATGTGTTTCAACCTTTATCACGATATCTCAATTTTTACTCAAGTTATCGCGTGCACGGACAGACGGAGTCAAGTTTAGTCTAAGCAACTACTATCTCCTTGTAATTGATATATAATATATACCAAAACCGTGAGGATCTTATATTTATATTCACATTAGGTGTTCTTAAAAACTTTAACGATATATTTCTACAACAACAACAACTCATATAATTAAGATATCCTATTGAGGACATAATATTATTTCGGAGTCTCATCTTGAGAGTCTTAATCATCTATTTCGAGAAATGGATGTTTAAATTATTATTGGTTCTTATTAATTTGTAGTAAGAGGGGTTATGAAAATAAATACAGGGTCTACCAACAAGAAAGACAGGATTTTAAAATGAAATAAAACACTCATATTTGGTTAAGATGAGTTCTGTTTTTTTTTGTTATGCAGATAATTTTATGCCATTTGTGATTTGGACAAAATGTCGGCCAAATGGCCCGTTTAACGAGTCGCCAAACTTTGCACGCAATGGGTCCATATTTAGAAGTGAAACATGAAGGAAACGGAAATAGTGATTGTTATCGTCGATTTCATGAAATTCTAGGAATAAATGTGGGTAAACATCGTGTTATAAATTTCACAATTTTTGGTGATGAAATTGCGTTTCTTGAACCACACGAGGATTTGGCCACTAAGCCAGAAATGGGCCTCATTTGAGAAGATGATTGAATTTTCGTAGTAACCATGGAAATTTCAAAGCGTAGCAAAATAAAACGTGACATAACGAAATGGCAAACCCCACACTGACAAAAATTAACACAAATCGATGAACAAACGTGGCCGCCACGAGCTGTCAAAATAACGTCATCCCTATTGGTAGACACTTTATTACTATTGCTTAGCACTGTTAGAATAATTATAGTCTCTTAATTTAATTTAATGGGGATTTAGAGTTTAACTTATCTTTGGTCACTTGGATATACTTTTTTTATCACTTTTATGGTACTTAATTATATATGTGTTGTATTAACTGATTTTTGTATTGAGTGAATATATTGAACATTTTCGCATCAATTAGTTAGTAGTTTTTTTTTTCAAATCTTTCTCTGGCAATCAAATCGTTGCGTATGATTTAGGACGACTATTGTTGTGTCTACTATATTCTTAGTCTTACATGTTTCTTTTATTAAGATCTACATACATAGTTTTTAGCTCAGAAATCAAAAAAAAAAAAATGTTATAACTGACATCTAGAACTTTTCAACTACATATTATTTATATTTGATACTAATATAACTATCTAAATTAACCATTAATCGTTTACTATCTCTCTCCGGAATAAAAAACCCTATGAATAAAATTAAAATAAATTTAAAATTTTAATCGCCATAACACAATAATATATTTTGAAAACAATAACAGTCGAATTCAAAATAATCCACAAGTATAATATTTAATATTGTTTTTAATGTATCAATGTTTCATTGTACGTTTTGTTGTTGTCATTTTGACAAGCAAAATAATCAACTGCAAAATTGCAGCACAAAATGCCAACAAAAGAAAGTTGGTGTAATAGTTTATCATAATGTCGTGTCAGCTTCCTTTGTCACATTGTGGAGGAGATAAAAGCTTAAGCGCAAACCACACTCACCATCACAGTGGCACGCACACTATTTTATGCAAATATGTACATATGTATGTATGTATTGTTGAGCACTTACATGTGTCGAATGAGATGTTAAACTATTGTACGACGGTGAAGTCTTTTCGATTGTTATAAGTTTGCACTAAAGTAAATTCATAAAAATGTAACGGTAAAAGACAAAGAGCAGGAGATACGAGTAGAGCATTAAAGATATAAGATAAAGATAGAGTAGTAATATTTAGTTGCATATTTATGGCGAGAGACAGTTAATATAGAAATTCAACTTAATTTCATACAAATTCGTAACCCAAATATTTGTATATATTTTCACTACACACACACAACAGAATTGGCGAGAGTTTTCATTTCTTAGAGCTTTACTTGCCGCTACAAAGATATACACAACTAAAGCATGATATTTTTATATTTAACTGCGGTATTTAATCAACATCGGATATATAGTTTATAGTGCAATAGTAAGATGACGCAAGCGCTTACAAGGGTCGGCTTAAGAAATGCGTTGAATATATAACCTATAAATACATATACACTGATATAAAGTTACGAACTTTTTTACGCTTAATAGGGGCAATCAAACCAAGCTTGATTACTTGTTAATTCAATAGTCACTGATTATCGATTTTTTTTTGTCTAATTAAACGAGTTATCGACTCTAACTAAAAAATAAGTGGGCATGTGATGAAAAGCGTTAAAAAATTCTCTAGAATTACATTTTTTGTATCTAAAATTATTAAGTGTTTCATTAAATAATCGTACCAAGATTTTGCCGCTTCCGGGTGAGAACTACAAAAGTCACTCAAAGTTAACAAAATTGTCGATAGTTGGAACAATGAATTGACAAGCTAACAAGTATTTAGTGAATACCCTCAACATTCAATACCATATACATTTTGTTACATATCCCGAAATAAAAGAAAATAAATACAAATATGGAATTATCGACGATACAATCGATAGCAACGAAAGCATAAAACATACATGTCTACTGTCAGCAGTATAAGGAATTTGTGGAATCTACAAAAGATTTTATGTGACATATTTAATATATACTTCATGAAGTGTCCATAGCATGAAAAAACAGTGTCAACAGTATTGACTATCGATATATTCCATCCATAAATACACATCACTACTACTATTCCTAATAAAAATTAGTAAAGAAAAAAATCGAAATAATATAATATTTGTAGTTAACAAGAGCTTTGAATTTTAGAAATACTATGAAATTTTGTAATTAATGTTTTTAACGTGGTTATATCCACTAACAAATCAGAAAAAACGTCTTTTTTGGATTGTTTTTTTTTTTGTTTTTGAAGAGCCATTTTACTTACTTAATAAATAAAAAACAGATATTTAAAGAACTTATTGTACTTAAACAATCGGCGATTTGTTTTAAACAAATTTTGATTCCCTTTATCCGGTAGCTGATCTCCGAAAAACGGTGTCTGGCGGTGAAGAAGTTTTTTGTACTTAAAATTATTTTAAATCTAAAAATTAAAACAATGTATTATTTCTATAGAAGAATACAGAAATAATTGAAAGACTTATTTATATTTTGATTTTTGACAAAATGTTGGCTTTCCAAAAAAATTTACACTTCAGATTGGCTTACAAACGTGGACTTATTATCAAAAATCTTATTTCTTTGCACATCACCATCACCATCGAATATATACTAAGTAAGTAGTGTGAAATCTATTAGTGAGTCGGTTCAGCCGTATCGGCAAAATTTTCCTCACTGTTTTATTTACTATTTCATACTATTTACCGGATCAACTTCAAATTTTTGGCGAATATTTTCAAATATTTGTACGTTAGATATACAGTACAGGGCATAAAAAACCGGTCAGATAGTTGCACACACTTTAAGTTTGAGTAAGTCTGCTATTTCTAATTTGGTTGGCATGCAATTTTTTTCTTGAATAGATATAGTTGTAAAGATTTGATTTGCATTACTCAGTTTTATCAATTGTGTTTGTAAAAAGTTTGTGAAAGTGTAGTAAATAAATTTTGTTTTCTGTTCCATTACCTGTTATTAATCTCATTCATACCTAATATTGTTTTTCTCCTTGTTTTGCAGATACGTGATTTTATGACTGAGAAAGGAACAAAGAAAATGGCGCGGTCTGGGAACAGCCCCGATTTAAACCACATCGAAAACCAGTGGGCGATTATGAAGAAAAGTAGCTACTCAGAAGCCGAAGAACCAAAAAAAAAAACAAAAAATGGATTCCGTTCTTTTAAAGACGTGATATTCTGACATGAAGGTCGGACTACTACAAAAGCTCACAACGTCAATGCCAGCATGAATTAGGACGTTGATTAAGGCAAAAGGAGGCACGACAAAGTATTGATAGTGATATTTCCCAATAAATAGAGTAAAATTACTATTTTAACGAATTTTGCGATCAAAATTGTTGAATGTTCCTATTTTTAATGACTCCTCCTGAAAAAATTAACTTTAATATTTTTTGGCTAATAATTTATTTTATCGCTTATTGTAAATCCAAAAAGCTCTAATATCCACTTCTTTCCTAGATGAATATTTTAGCTTGTAATTCAAATTTTCCTCCTGACTTTTTTATGGCCCGGAATAGCTTTTAAGAGTGTCTCAGAAAGACTACCAGATGTACTTAACATTTCGTTAAACTATATTTGTACTTTAAAGAGACATTTAATGTTTTTTGTGAAACCCACAATCTATATTGGCTAGGTTTTTCAGATCAAGGATAAATTTATGTCCATTTAATATTTATTTGAACAATAAACTCTCGTGCGTCTATCATGGAATGATCTTTATATTTTCACTTACAAAACAAAAAACAGATTTTCAAAATTTTCTAACCTCATATATTTCATCTTGAAGCAATATTCTTATTTTCTACTATTCGACACTTTAACCTTAAATACTTAACTTACGCAAAACAAACCCAATAAAATAAAGAAATAAAATCCAAAGTGTATGTCGCTTTAGTCTTGTTAGTTGTTGTTATTGTAGTATTGGCGAATTGTAATGGGATTTACAGTGACAGATGACACCTTAAAGGTAAAAATAGCATGTCTCTTGTAACAAAAAAAAAACCGTATAAATTAACATATGTATACATACAAAGGTAGACAGAAGAAGACACATTGAAAAGGAGACGTAGACATATCACAAATACAAAATATACCAGACATATATAACAAATAAAATTGGGCATATTGACGTACTTATGGATATATATATTGTATATTGACTAACATATTTATTATTTTAAATTTATACAGCAGACGCAGGCTTAGATGACTAGACAGAGCAAATCTACACATACACATATAATAATAAATATATAAAGGATAACCGAAGGACGTCTAATCTAAAATCTAAATCAATTACCGTTAAATAAGATATCAAACACACAGTTAGAAAGAAAGAGAGGGAGTTGGAGGGGATTCATATATATAGAGCGATTAGTATGGTATATAGTATGTACGATTAGAATTAAGAAGTTGAATAGACGAAAATTGAAATAGAAAATTTAAGGTTATAAAATTTAGACACATCTTTAGCTATCGTCTTCACGTCTTTTGTACTAACAAACGAGCTTATTAGTTGTTGGAGAACATATATACAAACTAGGAGAGAGGTAATCTCTTTTAGCTTAAAAATCTTTAAACAAATAGATTTAGAAAGAGTTTAGGCGCAACGATTTTAGTATTTCACACTACAACAAAACAACAAAAACGCGTTTTGATTATTTTTTACACAGAATTGAAAGGAAAAATTTTGTTTGTTTGACTGGTTTTACTACCTTGTCTGGATTATTGTTACTGCTCATCCTACATTTGAACGAAATGGATCGTTTCGCTTTGGTTAGCGCGTTCTATGAAATGTAGTAGCAGTGGTAGTAGAAATAGTGGTAGAGTTGATAGTGGTAGCAGTATTTATTTTGAATTAAGTTAAACATTTTTTTTTTAATTTTTTTGTAGTAGTAGTCGCAATGGTAAGAGCAATTTAACAGCAACGCAGCAGCAGAACAAATACAATAAGTACAGTTGTACAAAATTTGGTATAATAATTGTATATAAAGTAAATTATTATTATTAGTTTTTGAAATAAGCAACTCCCGAATTTTGATTAGTAAAAATATGACAAAGACAAAAATTTAATTAATTAATTCGTATTAATTAAATTTTAAATAATTAATTAACCAGTATTAATTAAACTTTTGTACCGCAAATTTGTCTCTAATTATTTTCAAAAAGTAATTTTATACATTTTTATATCAATTTTTTTCCCTTATTAAATTTCTAATTAATTATTTTCGCAAACTACTTTCTAACTCGAAAATTTACTACTAAATAATAACTTTTTTAGCTGAACATGATTTAAAAAAAAAAAAAAACATTTAATTAAATTTAGCTTATTTATGTTTGGGAATTATTTTTATAACAATGTTCAAAATAAAATAATCTATTTTTGTAAATTAATTTTTTAATTAAATATGTAAATATTTTTTCAAATGGCTTCTAACGTGGAAATTTCATCTTACACTATTAATCAAAAAAAAAAACTTAATTGTATTTAATTAATTAATATTTGAAAATTATTTTTATATCGGCGTTAAGTAAATTATTTACTTTTATATTTAATTTTTTAATTAGCAATTATTTTTCTAAACTAATTAAATATTTTTGGACATTCCATTTTAAAATGTGGTATTAATTTGTTTAGTATTAATGTGACAACCATCGAATTCATTTATTATTTTTATGAAGAACTTCGATTTTATTGCTAAAAAATTTAATCCAATTGTCCCTAAAAACTAAAATTTAGTTAAACCAAATTAATTTTGTTCTTAATTTTAATATAATTAACCTTTTTGTAAAAGAATTTCGAAGTTAATGCTAAACGAATTTACGAAATCATTTCTAAAAACTAAAGTTAAATTAATTTTAATTTAGTAAAATAAATATTTTGATTAATTAAACTCTGTTGCAAATTACTTTTTACGTTATACTAATATTTTCGAGTAAAAGTATGACAAACACCTAGTTTATTTGGAATTATATTATATAAATTTAATACTTTTCTTCTTAATTTTAATTTAGTGCAATAAATTTTTAATTAATGAAATAGTGTTGCAAATTATTTTTTACGAAAATATATCAATTCGAAATTTAATAGTAATATTTTCCAGTAATAATATGACAAAAACCCAAATAAATTAATTTAAATAAAATTGTCTTAATTTACGTTAATTTTTTTTAAAAGAACTTCGATGATAATGCAAAAAAATATAATTAAACTGCTTCTTAAAACTAAAAATTAGTTAATTTCAAGTTATTTTTTTCTTAATTATAATTTATTTTGTCTTTATTTTTGATGTTAATGCTAACTTTAGTTAAAATTACTTTCGAAAATTATATTTTTTATTTGACCATTTACTTTACACAAAAACATATTAACTGCTTTTAACAACGTGAGTTTATAATGTAGATAACAATAATATTATTGAAACTTTTATTCCTTTTCTATATATACAGTTTTTACGCTTTGAAATTCCGCAGAAATTAATATAAATGTAGAAAAAGGTATTAGAAAAAGAAAAGAACAAACGAGTTTTAGTTAACATTTGAACCTTAGTACATACCTCGGCGTCGGGTTGGGAACGATCCGAATCGTCGTTGTCCAAATTCTGATTCTCCAGATGCTCCTCTTCGGTTTGTGGCATTTGTTGTAGCTCTTCTTTGGATTTGAAATCCAAATGTCTGATATAAATAGGTATCAAAAGACCTAAGATGACCTGGAAATAGAATATATTAAAATATTGTACAATTGTTAAAAAATTTTAAATAGAAAGTGATCGTAGGTATGAAGAGATGACAGATATATAGGAAATGTTAACTCTAGTATGCATTCGAGATATCAATCTTGTTTACGAAAGCAAGGAAATATATTTTTAATAAATTTAATTGTGTTTTATTAAGTATATATATTCGTCTTTCTACTTTCGACATTTTATCTAGTCGAATGACTTTTATAATACTGTTACACAACAATTTTCGCTTTCCAATGCTAATATCTAATATCTAGTTTTTTTTACATTCGCGCTTTTGTGGAACTTAACCTAATTAGCGCTGTCTTTAACAGAAGCGGGATAGGTGAGTCGAACACAAAGCTGGTATGACAGCTATAGACCGGCATAATGAAATAGAGATGGAAGCAAGATAAAACGGTAACCAGTTTGTTTAACAGCTATATGCTAAAGTGATCCGCTCTCAAAAATTTGTTTGGGGTTGGTTTTTACCGTTGCCCTGGACCATAATCCATGCCGGATTTCGTGAAGTTATGTTATCAAAAAGAAAGGTTTTCCATACAAGGACTAAACTCCATCAGTTTGCGACAGTCGTGCATGCTATAGTGGTCTGACATCGGCGCTTCCGTCAAATGAGCAGCTTCTTTGGGAGAAAATGACGTGTGAAAAAATTCGGATGGATTTATCAAAAAACGTGGCAGTAGCTGGGGTAAATATGGACAGACTGACGGACAGGGGGACAGAAATGACTAAATCAACTAATTATCAGTTATATACAATAAATAAATGATCATTTATGTACATATTTTATAGTGTCTTCGACGTTTTCTTCTGGTTGTTACAAGCTTCGTGACAAACTTAATATACCCTGTTCAGGGTATAACAAAATAATATTAATTAATTATTAATTTTTCACCTTAATATTTGTATTTTTGCGCGTTCGCAAGCCGCCCATCCACAAATCGGCCAGTATAACTTGACTGCTCGGATGCGCCAAGAGTGCACGATGATTGGCGGCCACCGCCAGCGAAAGGCAACTTTGGTTCGACCATGAGTGCAGCTCACAAGTGAGTAGTCGTTGAGCCTTCTCCGCATCAGTTCGATAGCTGAAGTCCAATAGTTTAATACCTGGAAGGAACATCGTAGAAATTAAGTTAAATATTTGATATAAAAAAGGGGAAAAAGTAAGGCTACAGAAAGAGTGTAGAGTTTAACAAAGATCTTGATACCCTTAAAGTTACTAGAGGAGACATATTAATACTGTTTTCAATCGATTTGATGGGCTATCTAAGAGTTTCGTACTCACATACACACTCAGATGAGACAAACGGTGGGAAATAACAAAAGATTTCGGGTTGGTGGTTAAAATATTTCTCTCCATCACACACACACACACCCACTAGTATATACCTTTGCTTTCGAATTCCTTCGCATATGCACGCAATTCATCATAAATTTCCGTGTCTAAATCATCCTCGGCGGCCTCGTGTGCCATGGCCTTGTAGAGTTTACAGGCCACCAGGGATTTCGCCAACGCCTCCTCGCCGTGCGTCCACATAAGCAACGCCATTTGTTGACGCTTCGTAAGCACAGCCCAAATCTGAAAATGGAAAATGGTTAAGATATTATATAAGTAATCACATAAAGCATTATATAAGTACTCATTATACTATAGAAGACGCTTTAGAAATTTCCAAGTGCATTTGACTTGAGTGCGACGGCAACTCCTTTATACCATATACTTGTACTTTTACAGTTATAATATATTATTTGGTCATCTAATTTATGATGCTTGAAATTATTACCGTTTACGCATTTCAGCAAATTTCACGCACTCAAGTCATTTGCTCGCCTTTCATTCCGTCGCTCGTACTCGTACTTACCAACAATTCGTTGAAAGGAAATTCGAAAAGTGCCATTTCCGTTGTGAATGGCAGCAATCCGGTGACCAAACTCAAGGAATTTGCGCCAGCATAGCGTTGATATGTTGAGGATTTGCGGTGTGCATTGGCATAACTGTTCATTACTTTGGCGTAGATCGGACGAAATTTTCGGCGTGTATAATATGAGCTGGAGAGGAGAGGGGAAGATATTTTAGATTTTAGTTAATGTGAATTGAAGTATTTGATTTGTAAGTAAAATATATAAAATACCTCTTATTATAATAACGGTAATTTAGAGCAACAAGTACAAATTAAACGGCGAATGACTTCATCAACTAAAACCTTGACATAAGCAGGTTTCATTGATATGGAATATCCTTTCAATATCTTATTGTCCTATCTTCATTACTATGGGTCGCTCTGATTAACGAATTACTTCACCCGCTTGACACAAAGAACTTTCAGCTTGTCTGCTACGCTGATGACCACGCCGTCAGAAAACACCTTAATAATCTATTCTGGTTCATAGAGAAGGTCGTTGAAATCTGCCTTAGATATTTGTAAAGAAATGCTGTCACTATTAATCCGAAAAAAATCTGGCATGCCAATCATGCCAAATTTATCACCCTTTCTTAAGGAGAAAATATATTACACTCTCGAACCCTTTTAAGTATCTCGGATCTACCTTTGAAAAAAGATGATGCTAAAGAATCAAAAAGGATTAACACCACAGCTAATCGGTATGAAAACAATGTAATTATAGGTATATGAACATGGTCAAACCTTGTATAAACACATCATCAACATTGATATTAAAGTTTATACAGTGAACATATACCCTGTTTCACGAAGCTTGCAACAGCGTCGGAGACCCTTTAAAATAGATATATAAATGATTAGTATGACGAGCAGTGTAGATTCAGCCATGTCGATTTGTCTGTCCATGTGTCTGTATATACGCGAACTAGTCCCTCAGCTTTTGAGATATCTTTCTGAAATTTTGCACACGTTCTTTTCTCCCCAAAGCTGCTCAAGTGTCTTTTGTTTTTGTGAAGGATATTATTAGTTTCTGTGCAACCGAAGTTAACGATTTTTTTTTATTTTGTTATTTTATTTAATATTAGAAGGTAGTTCTATAAAATATTGCAGCAAAAAAATGCTGTCATGATGACCTTGTGTTTTTTTTTTCTGCACTTGTAATTTTTTTCTAATTATCTTCAGCCTAAATGCTTTCTAATAACTCAATCGCCTCAGCTTACAGCCTTTAAAGCTAAGTTAGGCATTAAATTTTAGGAATAAGTGAGTGTTATCAATTTATAGTCCAACATAACTTTAAAATAAATACAGTAGTTCTCTTTCACTAATCTTTCCACATAGTGAACACATACATACAAGTATAGGTTGTCATTCGCAAACTGTTGCTGCCGCCCAAAGCCCAAGGGATAAGTAAATACGCACAATAATTGAAGTTAAACAAGGAAACCGAGTGGAGGGGAGAGTCAATACAATAACCATTCAAGCGTAACAATGCCGGCATATTCATAAGGCAAAGAGCAAACTAAATGCTCGTACAACAAACGCTTAAAGGACAATAAATCATGAAAAGGGTCAGCTCACTCGTTGTTGTTGCAACGCGCCCTGATTGCCGGAGCAATGAGCAAAATCAACAAATGATTTTATTTGCAAGGTCTACAATTATTGATTTAAGGTTTTATCGAGCATTTAAACGCTTTTAACACAATCGCTGCTTTACATATTTGCCCGAAGCGTAATATGGCAACACTTTCATATCCCGTTTCTTGTTTGATTGTGAGGTGAGGGCTCAACAGCGGTTTGTGTAAATACTCGGAACGGGGAATTTAGTAGAAATTATATTTTGGATAGCCAGAGGCTAAATGTGGCATCCCACACTTGAAAAAATAGTTTTTTGTTTTAAATATAACGGTGAGTGCTGACACAGTAAGAGTCGAAGGAAATCTCCTGACATATATCTTTTAAAGATTATAGACCAAACTTGAGCTGAGCGACTCTGTAGCTCTCGGCATATATCTTATTTTAATAAATCAAGTAAGAAAGCGCCAAATTCGGATGTAACCGAACATTTTATACTCTTGCAACTTGCAAGAATCAAAGCCGGGGAAATATGTAAAGTTGTATATACATATATAGGTATATGGGGGCTTAGGGAAGTTTTGATCCAATTCAACAATATCAATTAACACAAGGGTATATTATTAAAAAAAAATCAGCCATAGGCTCTGAGGGCCACATTTGCGGTATCCGGGGGTTGAATTGTTACGAACCGATTTTGACAATTTTTAGACCTGAGATGGCATATCTTAACGAAAATATTCGAGCAAACTTTCTTCTGATATATTAATTAGTGCTTTATTTGTATACTGGAAAGTGAAAAAATCAGATGGAAATTAAAGTTTCCTATACAACAGGAAGTAGGCGTGGTTACTTCCCATTTTCGCACTGTAACATTGGAATGTCAAAATAAACGTATGTATCAAATTTGGTTGACATTGGTGGAGTAGGTTCGGAGATATGTGATTTCACTTAAATGTAAGCGCTGCCACGCCCATTGTCCAATTTTGATACCTGCTCCTATAAAGATTTTTTTTGTAATTTCGAATGTAAAATGTAATGTCTCTGACGCATTTCGTGATTGATGTATCGCAGTTTTAATAGTTTTTTACTAAACCGTTATATGAGGAGTGGGCGTGGTTATCAACCGATTTCACATATTTTCATGCTGTCACAAGAGGTGTTGAAACGATATGTTCTGGGATATGTGTTTGGGTGATATACCTTGAATAGTTTGGGAGACATACACTATGTATGTATACACTAAAATTATTAGGGAGTGGGGTCACGCCCACTTAAAAACAAATTTCAAACCACAAGTGCCCTTTAATTTTTGCGATTCGTTGTAGCAAATTACGGTTTAGTATCTTAACTTGCGGCTTAGTTATGGTAATTCATAGGTTTTCGAATAATGACGTTTTTGGGCGTGGCAGTGTACCGATTACGCCTATCTAAGAACTCGTCCTTACCTTTTTGCCAAGCCATATGTATAAAGTTTCATTGAGATATATCAATTTTTACTCAAGTTATCGGTTGCTCGGACAGACGGACGGACAGACAGTCACTCGGATTTCAACCTGTCCCGTCAGCCTGATCATTTATATACATATATGTATTTAACTCCATATCTATCTCGATTAGTTTCAGGTGATGGATTTAACCATTAGGTGAACAAAACTATTATGCTCTGTAGCAACACGTTGCAAGAGTATAAAAATACATGTTTTCCAAAAAATGTACTTTTATAGAAGTTTTTCCTCCCTCAATTAAAACAAATTGTAAATTGTATGAGCGAATAAATTATTCTTAACAAACATAAAATTAGGTGAGTAAAAGGATTTTTTTGGGCGTTAAGATTTACGATTAAGGGTTATTCACAAAGAAGTTTGTTTTATTTACTTTTGTAGAAATTTGCAAGTTTGGTTGCAGATCAATTTGTTTTTCTTTTATATTTGGCTAACTAATCCTTATAGTTTCTTTATTATTATATTCTATATACAAACATTATTTGTATACCGATACATATACACATATATATAATCCTTAATTGTAAATACTAACGCCCTCGAAATCCTATATATATATATATATATTCTATACATGTATACGAGTAAATGGGTATTTAATATCTTTCTATTTACTTTATTCGTTTGACTTATAGATGAATGCCCGTAATTCGCCATTTGAAAAAAGAATAAACATTGGATTTACTGCATACACATACCTATAACTGTATACATACATACATATAACCCACATATGTATAATATATGAATGTACATATAATGCTTTGTGCACCACAATACGTGCTTGATTGGCACTTATGGCTACTGGTAGGCCGTCCGTCTGACGATAAAAAACACATGCCACTGATATTTTTGGTAAAAAAGATAGTGTTAGAAGCGATTTTCAAAGAGATAACAAGCACACACACTCACGTCAATACATAAATCTAAATGTGGATTTATTTTGCGCACCTTTTCTGTAATCTGCATTCGAGTGACACATCCGGTAAAATACATTTTTATATTGAATTTATTTTATTTGGCTGAATTAAGCAGAACGAATTGCGGAAGGAAATCATTAAATATCGGCATTATACAAATAAACCACATGGAGAAACACAATTTGTGCAATTTTCCACTCAGGCAGGTTAAAATATTTGCGGAAAATATGGCTTAAAAGCTACACAAATAGATAGATATACTATAAGTATGATATGCTTAGAATAGTTTAGCCTTTCCTTAGATTTGTTGTAGATGGTATAAAGAGAACCTTTAAACCCTAGGTTTAAGTGAATAGCTATAACAAAAAGCTGAATGAAATAATGATGAAAGCTGGTTATTGTTAACCTTAATTAAGAAATCCAAAGTGGGTAGTAATTCTTAAAGGACATTTAAATATACATTGGTTAGAGCCGCAAATTGCCAACCTAAAGGATTTGAGCACGATTATATAAAAACGTTTGCAATAACGGCCCAAACCCACAGCATTTACCGTATTTCTGTCATGAAAAAGAATCTTAGAAGAATAAATTACAGAAATATATGTAAAAAATTGTCCTTATTTTGCAGAAAATTGGTAGTTTAGAATTAGGTAATCGCATATTCTCCTGACACTATTGTGGACTACGTGACATACAGTCGAGATCACTTTGATATTACTATGTATGTATATAGACGATATCAATAGACCAATAATGGCCTTGCGCAAGTAAACCACTTTAGTGAGTAACTTTTTATAGAGAGTTTATTTAGCACTTTCAATAAGGTATCCGCTAAACTTAAGAGTCATCGGCCCTTTGACAGTAATCTCTCTACGAAATTATAAGTCTCTAAAACATACACTTTGGATGCCTGAAATTTGTCACGTTAAATATTTGTACTAAAGAGCTGATACACAAGCTAATAAAATGAGTTCAAATTTCCCACCATGGATTTCAAAAAAAGCGTTAGATTAGGTCTTTATACACAAAATTGTACGACTAAGTACACTTATGAAATATAATACTAAGAGGTATTAACAAAACTTTGGTAAAATATATTTTTGGAAAAGCGGTGATTCAAAATTTATGTGCAACTATACCAAGGAAAGTTG